CATTCGAAAGTGTGATTGGGGTACCTCGCACGTCAAATCCTAACGCTCTCATTACATAACTATTTGTTTAGCTACTGGTTTCGGTATTGTGTCGGCAATGGTCTCCCCTGGCGTCCTGGCGTCAATGCCATATAAGTAATCCTAGATCCAGCCCTTCTGCACATTGGCAAGGCATATTCAGCCCCACTATGATATGCTTCATCTCCAGAACATTCACCGAGCACCACGATATGTTAAATATCTGCCATTTATTACAGGATAGTTTATGAAAATCACGCATTCACTTTTCGCCTTAAAAAAATCAACGCAAGCTAACAGAAATGCCTTGAATACACGAGTTTCGGCATACTCTATCACAGAACGAAAGCCAGAGCCTGAGTTCACAATTTGGACACATCACCCACAACGCTACCCAGATGATTTAGCTCTGCAGAGTGCTCCGTTGCCATGGTCTAAGGTGGTAAAGACTACTGAAATCCAATTTCGTCTTAGTAATTGTCTGGTCTTGACTGCACTCGGTTCGACTTTGCAACTGTCTTCGCCTGGTCACGGAAGGGGGTAAATTCAACCGCCTCAGCACACTGCATTAGGCCAAGTGAATCAGTTAAACCCCTTCATCTGTCGTATGCAACGAGACCATAAAGCGCACAAAATGAGCAACACCTTTGTCAACCACCGACCAAACACCGGATTCATGACAGACCTGGCACCACGGTTGTGCTCATTAATATTAAAGTAACTTTCACCTCCGCCCCACATTCCAACAACATCAGACACACCTTTGGTCATAAATTCACTAAACAGACCTATCACCATCATATCTACCAAGAAAGTTATGAATACTCGATAAACTTCAAACGGTAATCTTCATTTGATAGAGCAGCACCATTAAATGCACATTGCCTATTCCATCACAGATAACACAGCGAGTAAAAAAGTAGGCAGCCAGGTGAAATCTACAGCGACACAGCTAAGATGCGGAAGGAGAGGAATATTGCCAAGCACAAATCCTAAACGCATTCCCTTGCCCCTTTTTTCAGAGCCTACAAATGAAAACATCGCATTATCAACATCATTTAGCCAAATTAATACTGTGTTAAGCGAAACAGCAATTGCTACATGAGAAAATCTGGAGAAGCCACCCACCGTCAGGTAACCAGTTTGGTAGCCACACATGTACCACGAGTTGAGGAGATTCCGAACGGCATTTTCGTCATTACCATACGATTCAAGGAGCAGAGTGCGCCAAAACTGCGACAATACGGGACCACCGCCGGTCTTCCATTTATCTTCCACCGAATTCGTCTTGCCTCGACCTTTCCTTTTCATCACAGCTCCTGACTGCACACTTAACCCAGGCTCTACCTTTGGAAGACTTCTAAAATGCAAATGTATTTCAAATCTCAAATCCGACCGACATATAAGGCGGGCCAAACGGTGCCACTTTGCTACGACGAAACAAGCCGCTCGATCGTCTTGTGGCTACCAAGGGAACCAGTCAACCTACTGACACCAAAGACGCAAGCTTATGCCTGACATTACATCCTGCCTATTATTTCGTGACCAGCCACACAAACGTACAGTTCTCTTATAATCTCCTGCATGCGATTCACATTTCAACTGTAAGTAACCATTTAGACCTCATTTGAGTAGTATGGGTAAATGTTTTCAAAAGGCACATAACATCCACGCCGTTTGCGACGCAAGAGCTTAACCCTGCATATTAGCTCGCTAATAACCATAGCGAAAATCTTCACAAAGTAAAAGTAGGCGTCACCACCCCACTGACAAATGCAAATGTCACAAACATGAGGGTTCCTCAGTCGCAAAGCTCTCTGTAACGCAACAAAAGGCTACATTCAATCAAGCCAAGCGCTGTACACACCATTTCTACTATCCCTACCTTCTTTGCTAGATTCGCGGCAGGGTCACTTGTTTGTGGCTCCCTAAAACCCAGTAATTAAGGCATCATTCTACACGGAATGTGAAAAGAGCAGAGCCCCAAAAGAGCGTACCTGCCATCTGACCTTATTTCAACAGTTTTGAGTAGCTCCTGGGCAGCACGAGCGTTGTCTTCATCCTCCACCCACTTCCGGGACGAGCCATCAACTCGATGTATGCGGTCTAGGCGGACGAAATACTGCTCCGTACCATAATAGAGAAATTGTACTTCACAATATCCCGCGTCCTCGGTGATATCGATGATTTCCGCAAAGTACCACTTGTTGTCCTCGCACCACCGACACACACATATGTCGCCAATCTGCCACTTACGAGGAGACGATTTAGATTGTTGCTCTGAAGGCTGAAATTCAATCAAGAGGGTGTAAGAAGGCGTTTTAGACTTATCAACACATGCGTTCAATAAAATGAGGTACGTGATTTAACAAAACAAGCTAAGATTAATCAACCGGATCAAGAGAGGTAATGCAAATACGCCTACTTCAAACTAGCGATTTGAATCAAAACGGACGTTAAGATTCCCAATGAAACACAGCAACATACCTTGAAGTGCTCCTTATGCCCATCAGAAGTGCTCAGCATATTAATCCTATCACATCTGCAAACGATAAGTCCGAAGCTTATTTAATATTCACCCAAGAACGGCTTCACTGCAAAACAAAGCAAAGTCTTACAGATCCCCTTCCCCTTCCTTCTCCTCCTTGGGACGCCGTCCATTACCGAAGATGCTTTGATAGGGAGCGAGCTGAATTAAAATAAATTTGTCGATCCATGCCGGCCAAGCCAAGGCATTAATAACAAATAAATCACAAGAACTTACATCGCCCACATTATCTTTCAAAAGTTGGGCAGTTTCTAATTGCACCTTTATGTAGCCTTCATTTATGCTCTAAATTAACAGAATAACAGATGTTTTAAAACAGATGTTTTCAGTAGTTAAACTGTATTGACTCCTAGAAACTGCCCAAAACTTACACCTAAACATTGAGAAATAATATCATCATCGGCACTTTTGAGCTTCGTTACACGACCCTTCTTTACGCGACAGCTCTCAGCATTGGTGTCAGAGGGGACGACAAGTACCACGTCTCCGCCATCATCAACACTTTGTATGATGCCAAATTTAGGCGGGGCATCATTGGAGCCTCGGTAGATACACGTATCTCCAATGGCCAACATTACTGGAGGGCAAACATTAAGAATTCAACATTACTTCACACGCGAAAATACCGAATTTGCTGTGGAAACCATCTTGTGCATAATAACGTGACTAAAATCTCTCGAAATATGACGATTTACTAAACTGCAATACCAGTCTCTTCAGACATCAGTGGAAAACCAAACTATGGCTATAAAACTATCCAAAAAGCACGCCTAAGGATCACAGGTTGAAAATTACGCATTCACAAAGTCTTATTAACATTTATGCATCTAGTAAGATAATGCAACGCTCAACCATACATCAAGAGACAGGTCGGACTGAACTGACCACACCCTAACTCTGTGCAGTGAAACAAATGTTCAAGTGAATTAGGTGAAAGCAATTTTATATCATCTTAGTTAATTGTGACTCAAAATGTTGCGTATCTGCTGCATGGCATATTATGTTAATAAAATCTCACATATAATTATACTTTTGGCTGAGGCGATGTTCATAGATCCATTATACATTGATCAAAAAGCTGTGAACCTTGTTGTATAGGATAAAGAGCAGTCCTAGTTAACGTTGTACCGATTGGTCCTACTGCTAATCCAAAACGCGTAATTTTGGGTTACAAATGTCACAATCTCCTGCGGTTTAGCTACGTCCACGACTTAAATAAGTTTGATCATTGATTCATACGTACACTAATGCATCAAAACACACATTTAATGCTTATACCGATATCTATTTTTTATCGTACTGTTCGAAAATCTGAGCTTATCTGTCAATCACAAGTGACATATCCATGCTCTGCAGAATGCTCGTGAGTGTTGCATAAAGAACAATGCACTGCTTGATGGAATCTTTTGAGCGTTCCTCATATGACTTTAATATGCAAGCACTAAGCCAATGTATTGTCTTCAAGCAGTATTTTTAACGACGAAAGACGTCTTTGCTAGTGCGAAATATGCATCGCCGACACACAGTAAGGGCGACGACTGCTGTCATGGCCCAGAGGCCATGCCTACCAGCGTGAGTTCAGAGTCGGGTGCCGTAAGTGCTTGTGAAATTAAAACGGGTGTTAGTCAAACCATTATATTATGACACATAGACCTTGAATTAATTTAATCAATTGCAATGATCTTAAGGTTACCTAAAAGCCGTGCAGCCTTAGCCTACCATGAGATTCTTTTCAGCTTGTAATTTTGTGTCGCTCTTTACGCAACTTCGGTCTTCATCTTTTGCTGCAGTGTAGAAGTTTTGTGAATTTTGATGCTGTTTTTATTCAATAAGACCATCCTGGAGTAAAATTAACTGTGTACGTGATAAAACAGGAAAGTAAATTCACCAGAGCAACATTTTCGTTGCGTACTTAGACATACGGTGGTTCGTAAGAAGACATAGTAGTATTGCGACGCCTTAAGATTTCCCTTTCGATGAAAGAAGACATAATCCTCGGCCAGAATATGTATCTAACGTGGAGTAGGGCTTAAAGCTACTGACAGCCCGTAGACCTTTTTGCATGATGAAGGTACGACGGCAGAGACACGACGTGGCCCCTCCGCCAAGACTGACAGTTAAACAGCCATCACATAACAGCAAGGCAGAAATCGTGCTACTGAAGTACGGAAGGGTTGAGACCACTGTCCTGGCCTGATAACCGCGCTATTGAATGGAACTTTGACCTGTGGAGACTTAGGTGCCCGCCTAAGTAAATGCATAAAGAACGCAATTGTGACCCTGTAATTGCGCATTTGTGCAATTTGGCATTTAATAATACTGTAATACGATAGTGGTTTATCCCTTGGTTCTGGTGAGGCGCCACTTTTGTACTTTGAATCAGCCTCCTTGTACCTCGTTGGGTGGGCTGGCCCTTTGGGCCATGCCAATAGCCCAGACACCTTCTCTGTGCTGGATACATGTATTCTGCCCTAGTACTCTGTCTTCTTTTGTCTTCAGGGAGTCTTGGGACGCTACACTGTTGGCAGCGGAAAGCCAACCCGATCTTAAAGTACATGTATCCTGATTTTCCAC